TTGTAACAAAACAGGCCTTTTTGTTTAGCTCTTGACTCCCTGAAGAAGTCCCATACACAAAAATAATGACTTATAACTCCAAGACCGTAGCAAGGACAATCAAAAGGTAGGTATCGTCTGATAGACATTCTATATTTTTATTGGGGGGGGGGATCTTTGCATTTGAATATTCTCATAAAATATATAGTGTGGTCAATGGAAATTCTCATATCAGTCTTTTGTCGCTCGATATCGCAGGAAAGAAATGAAGTAGGAGAACACCTTTTGATGTTCCCCAACATGTGTGCTGTATGTGAATTAAATTGTGGTGCTGTCATGAAGTAACCAAAAGTTACAGCATTTGGATGGTTCCATCGGGAAGAGAATCGGGTTTACAGTTTTGAAATTGTTTTGAATTTGAAGTAATGCCTCACTCAAGTTTAGGCAAAGCCCACAAAAAAAAATAATTAAATTTTCCACGATCTGATTAGATTTTATGAAGTGACAAGTAAAACAGTGATAATGTTTTCATATGGGTCAGGGGGTGACTTGTACAAAAACTCGCTCCAGTTTAGTCAAAGCCCCAAACAATTATGCTTGCGTTATTCTACTGGATGAGACCTTTCAAAATGACATGACTATCCAAGCTGTATGATATTTTTCACAGAGTACCGTCATGGGTACACAGACCAGAGAGAGATGAATAACTTTCCAAACAGGCTTTATTTAATGCAACACCGATAAGGCAATAGGTGATCAGATACACATAGCAGATGGAGCAGGAGGGAGATCAGACAGGTGAGGAGCCACACACACACACTTAAAAGGACTTGATAAAGTAAACACTTTCCTTTCCTGTAGGAAGAGCACACGACACTTGGAGATGGAGAGACAGAGCTGATGACTGGGGATAAGGAACTGGACGCTGGAGATCTTGGGCATGCAAACAAGCTCAAACAGCCCTGGAGGCTGGTGCAGGACAGGAACAGGGTGAAGGAGATGAAGGAGGGCTGGACTAGACCAGCGGAGAGGTGGGCTCCTGGCCGAGCTCTGCTACTTGAGTGGGCTCCTGGCCTGACTCTCTGGAGGGAGGGCTGACTCTCTGGAGCCGTTATTGGACTGTACTCAGGAGTAGAAGTCAACTCTGGACGGAGTTCGGGGACAGGAGCAAAGTCTGGGCTGAATTTGGGGACTGGAGTCAGTTCTGGGCTCCAAGACATCCCCTCATATTCCATCAGTACTCCCAAGGGCACAAGTGTGGCAGCCAATTCGGAATGGGACTCTGGAATGACGGTCACGGCTAG